TCCGCCGAAAACGGACGAGGGGTGGCGTTAACGCGTCCCAACCGATTCGCCGGCGTTCCGCGCACGTCGACTCGGTGCATACGCAAATACGCCGCACGGAACGGCAGAAACGTCCAGCTTACGGAGGATTAACGTCACGCCTTGGCAGAGTCCACCCGTGGGACCGACGGGAACGAAAGTACTCCACCGTCTTACATATGCGTGCGCTCTCCTGAAAACGACGCGCTGAAAATGTACGTGGAATGATGTAGGATAAATGCTTCGCTTTCTGCGTTTGAACGATCATTTAAATATACGATACCCTGTTTATATAAATTTCTGCAATATGATAAACAAATCCTTGAAGAGAATAGACATGTATATATAAGGGATTAAAATTATGTCAAGTATTATACCATCCGTATAATCGTATCCGGATAATTTGTCGTTTGTCCCTCAAGATTTAGATAAACGCTGATTCTCGACAAAAATCGAACGTTCGCGGAATCGACGCGCAATCTCGTAACGCGTTGATCTCGCCGAAGTGGAATTCCGAGACGAGCGAGAGGAAATTCCACATCCCCGTTGCGGCCGCGCGCGCGCTTCCAGGCGCCTTTTTTATTTTGCGAAAATGAGAGTTTACTGCCTTCCGCGGGGTGAGAGAGAAGAAACGCTCCTTTGTCTCTTTATGGTCGGAAAGTGGCTCGTGGATCGCGGCCACGGCAGAAGAGCTCGAGAGACCCGAGACGGCATCGCCGCGCCGCCGCCACCGTCACCGCGCCATCGCCGCGGCCGTCTTCTTCTTGGACGCCACGAAGAAGTACGGTCGGATAATAACGAGTTTCGCTGTCGTCCCTTTCGCCCTTGCGCGAGTAGCGCGAGTCGTAAAGTCAGCCGATGTTAACTCCCCCCGCCGCCCGTGTCCGCCCGACCGTTTTTCTTCCACGGCAATGTGGACGATCGTGTCAAATTTTTATTGCGCCAACGAGCCTGTCTCGTAGCGCGCGGGTCTCTCGCAATCGTCTCGCCTTATACGGCATTGGAACGAGAAAAGAGAAAGACGGACTTTACCTCGGGTCGATCGCGTCGACGCAGCATCCCTTCGCTGGACATCGACAGATTGCGAAGGATAACGATGAGGATTGTACAAATGTGATAATAAGCTCGATAAAATATAGCGGTACAGGTGCGAGTATACCGGAGGGCAGACAAACAAACAAGATGTTAGATTCTCTGACAAGATGTTAGATTCTCTGGATGAAAATTATTAGCAGGGAGATAAGTAAACGTATGAAATTAATTCACAGTCAACAATATCATCGATTATAATTTGATAGCTCTCACTTTCAGAATTTCGATAATAATTGGACACCCTGTAAATAATTTCGATAGTCGTATAAAAATACTCTGAACTATTCTGCGTTCTGCACACTCGATTTAATCTGCCGCAATTCGATTCAACCTCAATGGAGGCCATTTAGCTGAAATGAAGATTTATATGTTAGACTCATATATGTTAAATTCTTGATAAAGAAATGCTCAGATCGCAGTAAACATGATCACTTCCACGTTCCGTTTTCGTCTTCATAAATCAGTTAATGGTAAGATAATTATGAACATCAGCAAAAATGTTGAAGAGAGAGCCTATAATCTCAAACTCAAATTTAGACAAATCGAAATTTAAACAGCAGCGTAGAGTATTATGGTCCGTTCAAGAAGTAATTTATATATATTTGCAGGCGCACGAAACATCTTTCGAAATTACAGCAGCGACGGCGCTAGCATTTTCAATGGGTTCAAAAGAGAGAGGCTGCGGTACCGAGAAGAGGCAGGTATCGTCCTGTATCGTGCACATTTTGTGTCTACTGTAAAAAGATTCAATCGTGCAATATCCATCAGTAGTATACAAATATTTCCGGTCTGTTTATCTAAATTAATCAAAATCACTGATACAGCGATTTCCATCCCATGCACATTTTTTTTTCTTCGACCGAATAAACTTTATTCGCGTATTTGTGTTCACTGCACTTGAAAATTCGTCCAATTCGTTCTACGACACCATTGACTGCACTACTCTATATGTCGGCAAGGTTATTACGAGTCGAGGAATTCCTGCGGGAAATCTGCTCGCGACGACTCAGAGCTGCACAATATAATCCCGGAAGAGCGCAAAGTTCTCGGCTTGGATAAAGCAGAAGATCCGTTCGACCGTTGTCTTCAATAATAATTGCTTCAGATAAACATCAACTCTTACTTTTATGGCGAACATCTATAATTATTTGTATTTACGATTTAAATAATAAAAAAAAGAAAAAAAGCAGATTAATAAAGATGAGCTAATATCGACAAGTTTAAAAATAAGCGAAATAAATTATTTATTTGGTAAGCCTGAGAATTACACATGGCTATGATGAAATTACACTGTTAAATTTGTCGTGTCAAATTATACTCATTTGAGTCGTTTTCAACCATTCCTATAAGTCGCCACTGCTTCTACTCAATATGTCATTAATTTAAATAAAACCCAGTGGAATTAAAATAATACTGTATTGTGTTAAAATAATAAATTTCGATATACATCGTAGTTAAAATTAACAAAATGGTATATTTAACTTCAAGGTATTTCTTAAGATTTCATCCTTTAATATTTAACAGTGTATTTGTTCGATCTAAAAAATGTTATCCGAAAGACTATATTTACTCTAAATAACAAAAATTCGATTGGCAGAGCAGAAATATCCAAGGTGAACAAGTTGTACGATTCACCCCTCTGGATGATCCTGGTATTGTCACAATCGTTTCATGTTACGTCGTGTAATATTCAACGCGATGTCTATTACACCGCTGGACTACCTGACGTTTCGCGTGATGCGTCGATATTTTCTTTCCCCCTATTTTTTTTGCTCTCCGAACGAGAGGCGTACACAGTACACACCGGGGGCGAGGAGGTAAAGACGCATTACCAGATTGGCTGGCTCGCGTTCACATTCAGGGGGGGGAAAGAGGTCCTTTACATTCATGAAGCTTTCATCCGGTTGATTTGACTACGCGCTACGTATTCGCGGGTCTCGATTTGATTTGCATTGATTGGAGTGGCCGGCTCTCCCGATAACGACCGTTCTTCTTCGGCGGCGATGCGGATTCCGGAATCGGCGGCGAATCCGCGGTGTTGCGCGAACGCGCGTGCGAATAAACTTTTGCAATGATTTTAAGAGGATGTATTTCGCTAAATATACTTACTTCAACTGCGAATTTCGCATGAGTAACAATCTCAAATAAAACAAAGATCACGAACTGTGTAAAGAATTTATTCGTAAGTTTAAATTGTCAGGAATTATATTTCTGCATTCTGAAAAGAAAAAAAAAACAATTAATAACATCACGTGTTATTCAAAATCCAATAATTTTATTTAAATGGAAAATTATGCAACATTTTATAACAAGATATATATTGTGTCAATCGTGTGCAAGTATTAATTAAATATTAAACGCATACAGGTAATACTGCATTGGAGTTTGCAACAAACGTGAATCATAAACAATTATAAACGTTGTTGCAATAACGCTAAATTTGTTTTAAACTTTATCATCTTCAGCATCGCGGCGTGTTTCTTTTCTTGCCTCGCAATATTTATAAATATTGATTACATACAGATATAATAAAATAGAATAGAAGCAAATGTTAAGTAGTTGAGCAAGCCATGCCGTGATACAATGTAATATTATTCGCGTATATTAAAAGACTTATTTTTACCGTGAAATCCCGCCGCTCCATCACGACGCGTCCCTCGCCGGGACGTCTTACAACAGGCGTCGCGATAGGTGCACAAGCGGGCATCCCAATTTCGTCTTCTTCCACGACAACGGCAGCATTGTGCCCGCGTCAGCGGCGGAACGATGATTAATCGATCGACTGTCACGGATATCGCTCTTTCTCCCTTCGCGCGCGGCTACTACGGTCGCGGATGGAGAATGAGGCGCGTAATGCCGCGGACCGCGCGCGCGAATACCTCCATTAATAAAAATCAAATCGCTATTAAGTCGAAAATATTTACAGTGTCGCGAACAACAACGGCTGACTGCCTGTCTCCCCCTCTTTGGGAACTGCGGACTCCGAAAATGAACCGTCGTCGAATCGAAAAATCGCCGCGGTTCAGATCGACGCGGTCACTAATCGTCGCGGAATGAGTCTCCATTTTCCTTTTTTCCCTCTCGCGTCTTTTCTTTCGCGAGGGACCACCTGGAATTTTCCCAGATTAAATTGATTCGTACGCGCGCACTTTGCGGCGATCCGATGATCCGCCGCCGCCGTTGCTGCCGCCGTCGCCGTGACCGCATCATTCATCTCGCCGGTGTACTATTAGTACTGTTATTTATGGTGAAAAAAAGCGTAGGCCGCGCGGAGCGCGGCACCCATTATGTATCGAGATCGGGTCGCCGGGTGATTTATGCCGACCGGCGTAAATTGCCGCTTGTCCTTTGCGAGATCGTAGTGAAACGTCGCCGATTAAAATCCCGCCGCCACGTTGATCGTGATTTAGCGGAGTTTAGGTGGGCCCCAGCCCCGCCGCATCGTGATTGCGAAATTAGCGATCGCGAGATTACGCTAAGTTTATGCGCGCGAAAAATACAGGCGTGGCACACGGCTCTGTTATTGGGGTACGTGTAGTCCCTTGGGGTCGCGATTATCTATATAAACTTAATTAAATTACTCGACAAAGATTGAGATAACGTTGGACGTGTACTTGAACAAACTGCTGCGAAAGGATCTGTTTCAGGCATCTTATCCTCTCTTCCCCTTTTTCACTGGCTCATATAAACTCATATTAATAAAAAAAAAATAATGCAAAATATAGAACCAAAAACATTGCAGCAGTTATTAAAAAAGAAAGCTAAAGTTCAATAGTTTTCTTTTAGTAGCTGTTAATTCATTTCCAAGTTAAATTCTTTTTCATTGGCCTCAAAAAAATAATAAAAGCATAATTTTATAATTCTTACATCCTAAAATGGTCGACTGATCACTAGCACACTTGGCCCTTATCGTCCAACGTCCGGAAACATTCCAACGTGGGATACGTTCGCAGCCGCAACAATTCGTGCTCGGTCTGCAGCGCCAGGAGCTCGGTGTAATTCTCTTGGAGCTTCCTGATCAGATCGGATCGTTGCCTAAAAAGACGCATCTTCCGGTCCGTGTGCTCGCGCTGCCTCATCTCCCCGATGACGTCGCGCTGGTACTCCAATTCCCATCTCGCCACGTTCATCTCGGTGATGGTTCGATCGAGCTCGGCGTTCTTCTTCTTCACGCGAGCAATCTTCCGCCGGAGGTTCTCCAGTCTACTCGTCTCCCTGGACAAGGCTTTGTCCAAAGATTTCGTCGCGGTCTCGATCTCTCTCTCGAGATGCACCGCGGTTTTATCGTCGCGCAGCCCCTTCGCCTTCCTCTTCAGGTAGGTGCGCATGTCCCGGGTGACCGTGACATCCTCTATAAAGTGCAGATCCTCCTTTAGCTCCTTGCACCTTGTCCTCAGGCATCGGTGCTCCCACTCGATCGACACCACCTCGTGGCGGAAGTCGATCGTGCGCTTCAGAGCGTCCAGCTTGCGCGCACCCGCGACGCGGACGTGCTCGTTGACCCTCTCGATCTCTCCGCGCGGCACCAAGACGGCGTTCGCCGCGTCGCGCCGTTCACCCCGCAACTCGAGCTCCACCTGACCTCTCTTTAGCACCAACTGTATTTCCGCGTTCTGCTCACGCATTATCCGCTCGTCCCTCGCTGTCCTCAGCCGATCGTTGAAGAGGGCCACGCTCGACTTACACGTGTCGATCTTACTCTCAAACACGGCGAGCTTTCGCTCCACTGCGGCTATCTCCAGCTGTCGAGCCTTGATCTGCAGCTCGACATTAATCTTCTGGCGGCGCGATTGCGTCAGGTGGTCCCAATGACTCGCGTCGACCGACTGCGGCAGTCCGCTGGGTCGCGCGTCTAAACTCTCCAGGATCTTCGAGTAATCCGCGCATTCGGCCGGGAAATAAGCCGGCTTGATACGGTCTACAAGATGCTTTGCGAGATTGAGCAGGTCGCTGGCAGCGACGTTCTTCAAGGATACCCGCGGTCTTCGCTTGTACTGCCGTTCGAGAAGCTCGACGTTGATCTTCGACAATGCAGCGAATTCATGCTGGAGCTTCTTCACCATCGTCTTCTCGCGAGTGCAGAGCTCATCGTGCTGCGCGAGCATATCCTGATAGACGTCGTGCAGCTTCTGCGCGTGTTCCTCCAGCGTGTTTTCGTATCGGCGTTTCTCGGATATCTCTCGCTTCATTCTATCATCTTCCTTCACACCCTCAATCCGCGCCAGATTACGCATACGGCCGCGTACGTGCCGCAGCCTCAGTTGGTTTATCGCCGCTTCGATTCTTAGTTTCAGCTATAAATAAAAGTTGTTCTGAGAAATCTAACAAATTCTCCATGTCAGTCGATAAAGAAAATATAATTATTATAATTATAAAATATTATAATTTATTTTAAAAAAATTAATTTAATTCTTGATGGGTAAATAATAATTAAAAGTTAGAGATGAGAGACCTGAAAGAATTCGTTCAATTTGGCGTCGAACTTGTCGATGTCTTCCTGCAAAAGTGCAATGATTTTCGCGTAGTCGGTCTCGAGCATCCTTCTGTAACGATCACGTTCCTGCCGAAGAATCTCCACATTCGCTTCGTACTTCTTTACGGACGCGATGTCGTCGGATGTATACTGCTCCGGCTGTTTCTCCAGCATGCACGCGGGCTTGCGCACCTCTATCTTGATGGTGTCTTCCCAGTGAATCTCCAGCATGCCGTCCATCATCTTCATCAGAACGCGCTCGCGAAAATCGTCGGCCAATAACAACTGTCTGATTCGTTCGGCTTCCGCTACTTGCATGTCCAGGATTTCCTGCTGCGACGGCGACACGTACGGCCTCGCCTTGACCTCGTGATCGAGCACTTGTATAATGCTCTCTGCTTTCTCCTAATCGCGGTATTGTATTTACTTTATATATACGCATTCAATAGTTATTACTCGTGATTGCGGCATCGTGCAGGAAGGTTTATAAAAAAATTAATTTTAATCTCCAATGTATATTAGAAGTTTTTACCGTCCTGACATTTGTATAACCTCTTGAAAAATAATTTATTATTTTATAAAATTGGATAAATTTTTAGAGATAAATACTGCATTTTTTTATAGTTTGATTTTTCATAAAAATTTATAAGTTTGAAAATCTGTTACTACTATCTCCAATATTGGCACAGTATATTTTTCCGTGAGAAAAGTTAACTTAATTTCCCTAACTCATTCACAAGAATATTATCTACTTGTTTTTCCCGCACGTTTTTCTCGCAATAAATCAGTTAAGGCTATAGCTTCTCGGGCATCCGGTAGAAGCAATACTCGCACCTCGTGTTTACCTTGGGATGCCACTGAGGATCAGCAGGAACCCGCGGCACGCCCTGGCCGAACATTATCCTCAGCTCGGAGTCTATATGACGTATCCGCTCGTTCCTCTCCTGTATCACGTTCGCTTCCCGCTCCTTTGCCGCGTACATGTCGTCGAAGAGCCCATTGAAGTAGGCATGGAGCTTGCCGTAATCGTGCATCAGATAACGATCGTCCAGCATCACGTGCGCGAACCCGTAAGACTCCATTTGCGAGTAATAGTAAGGCGATTGCTCGACGAACCGATGCGTTGTCATGCCTGCGGACAAGCGCCAGACGATTAGCGAGGTTTAATCGAGCTAAGTCGGAAGTCTCAAGTCTCGCAGCTTCATACAAAGTAAAACTGGAATCTTCTTTTTTTAAATCTCCTTGATGATCAATTTAGGTTTTTTATCCTGGTAAATCAAGCAACTTTTTATTTTAAACAACTTTAAATGTCCATTATGTTTCTCCAGATCTTTTCATTCGAAGTTTTTCAAGGAAACCTTTTCAAGTGTTTAGAAAGCGTTAATGTAAGAGTCATTATTTAAGAATCATTTAGGCACGTAAAATTCTGATTTTTTGCAAAAATTGACAGAAAAGTATTATCATTGTTGTCGGAAGCTAGCAAGCGCAATGCTCTAAGAATGAAAAAAAGTCTAACGTAATGATCCACACACACTTATTGCAAAAAAAAAGAAACAGAAACTTATTATTTTACCATCAACCGCCCGCAGCTCCGCTAATTCCTCAGGATCGATCTCTCGCTCCTCCTCTTCCAGAAGCAAATCCATCCTGCGTCTTTCCTCCTCGCGATACACCCGGACGGGTTTGCTCAGTTCCACCCGTAATTGCTCGTCCGTGTAGCTGTGCCACGGTTGGAAGGTGTCATAGACGATGCTGCGCACCGAATCCCTGGCGAACTGCGCCCATCGCAGGTGTTCCCTGAAGTACGGATCCTCCTCGGTCAGCGGATAATTCGTCACCTCCGTGTCGCCGCGGAAGGAGAATATCGAGCGACCCAACACGACCTGCGGATCCCAGAAGGTCGCCTTCAACCAGCCGGCTATGCGATCCATCGAGGCACAGACGTGTTCGAGCTCCATGCGGGCGTCCTCGCGCTCGTCTCTAGCCGTCTTCAGCCTCTGATCGCGGCCTGCTCTGTTCAGGTCGAACGCGGACACCGGTAACTTCTCCATCTCCGAACAAGTTTCGTTGGCGTCGAGGAGCTGCTTGACGGTGGCCTTCAAGGCATCCAGATTCTTCGCAATAGCGGCCTTCTCCGCGGCGTAAAATTTTGTCTCTTCTTGCAGCTGTGCGTTCTGCCGCCATTCTTCCCAGGTTCTAAATCCTTTTTCGCCGGCTGCTGGGAAATCTACTCTGGCTCGGGTCAACGAGGCAAGGATCGCCGGGTCCAAGGAGGCGTAATCCGAGAGTATCTTCTCTCTTTGCTTCACGTACCATTCATAGTCCACCGGATAGACGCTTTTGGTTTCAGTCACGAGCGGTGACGCTTTGCTCTTCTGTACTGAAAACAGAAATCGTTACCGTTTCATGAGAGAAGATAATGTAAAGAAGGGACTGATTATATTATTCTTTAAGAAAAATAAGAAATCACATGTGGTTGTTACTAACACATACTTTTTCGCTCTCACGACGAACGTGCGTCGCGATCAAAGAGCCATCGTGGCCAAGAGCGACCACCACGTTACCGTTGGAATTAACGACCGCCTTCCGGCTGCCCAAGTCGAGTCTGTGATGTACCGGCACCACGGCGACGATCTGCTGTACCGTTCTGTCGCGAATAATGACCAGCCCGTCGTAGGCGCACGTGACGATCCAACGTCGATCGGCGAAGACACGAGCGTGTCGCGTGTGATGACCCGTCAGCGTCGCGTCCATCAAGGTCGCGTCCTCAAAACCGCGTCGCAGCTTCAGGGTGTGTAACTGCCGTTCGAGGTAAGGCGAGCTTATCAGCAGCCGAGGATCGCCAGGCGCGTAAGACAGCTCGTAAAAGAGCGCGGGCAGCGTTACGACGCTGATGGCCTCGTTGATCAGACGTTGACTTGCCCCGATGAGGTACGACACGTCGTACACGAGCAGCTGCTGACCCACCGAGCCGAACGGCTCGTACTGGGCGTGGAGTATAAGCACCTTTAATTTCCCGCGCGTATCTTCGTCATACAGCACCGCGTCGGCGATGCGACCCTTCGCCCGGAGCTGGGCCACCACCTTCCACGGCGCGTCGCGTCGCAGGTTCACGCAATAGCAATTGCCTGTCTCCTTCTGCGCGGCGATCAGAAATCTGTCGGCGAACATAAATCGACCATCGAGAGGTGTATAATTCTAGTCGGGACGGCGCGCGCGCCTACTCTCGTTCTCGTGACTATAAATACGCTCGGCGAAGGAGTATTATAGTCGTATTTATAATCCTTCCTTGAGAAATGAGGATTCCTTGTTCCTCATTCTACATTTCATAAATCTTAAGGTTCGTTATAGCCGTATTCATATTATAGTCCTTCCTTGAGGAATGAAGATTTCTTTGTTCCTTATTCTACATTTTATAAACCTTCCTTGACCGATTAAGGAACCTTAAGATTTATGAAATGTAGAATGAGGAACAAGGAATCCTCATTCCTCAAGGAAGGACTATGAATACGCGGCTATATAAGTATTTAGAGAAGCGCCTTATCGGTTGCTCCCTGTGGGAACGTAGAAAATCAACGCTTCACGTAATGGAGGAGAATCACGTTCGTGAAATGTAATGAACGATACTGGGCACGGGACTCCCCACGTGTTTCAAATTCTGTTTGCTGTACTTAACCTAACCTAACCCGAGTTAGAAATTAGAAAACAGACAGTTATAAGTCTTCAATTTATGTTAATATTATTTTACTGAACGGTGTATTTTTTTTGTCAATTGTTACGATTATAATTAACGCATTTTGTCGATTTTGTAAAGATATGAAATTAGAAAATTGTTGTAAAATGAGATAAATCGGCTTACAAATTGTTGTCATCAACAGTTTATGTCAACACTTTAAAATGCTGTAAATTAAAAAAAAATTGATATACAGATTATTTCATTGTCAGACTCACTTGCCGGAATGACAGAACTTTATGAGATCTAAGGAATTTGTCTGGAGACGAAAGTACGCCAGGATTGTTGGTCGCTCCGGATCGGTGACACCCAGAACTGTCATCTCACCCTGATCGCTAGCAACGACGATCAACGGGTCATCCGGATGCGAGGCTTGAGCCGATACACCGCCTTCCATATCGAGCTCCACTTTGGAGACCTCGCTGCCGCTATAGCTCTCGAGGATGGTCAATTCCTTAAGATCGTCCGTCGCCGCGAGGTGATGGCACCAAGGATACAAGAAATCGACGAAGCGGTACGTACCGCCGTGATGCAGGTACTTATGCACCGTCGGTACGGTACCCTCGTCCTCGGGGAACACCATCTGCATCAGGTAACCCTCGAGGGTGTCGTAGAAAAGCCAATTCCTGGAGGGGTGCGCGACCAGGATATGGGGCTTGACGATCGACTTGACGTACCATCGCTTGCGCCAGACGTCGGTCGTCGGTTCTCTCTTGAAGTAGCGGATCTGACAGAAGGTCGTCCTGAGAATGATACCACCGCGAAACCAGCACACGGCTGGTACCTCAATGTCCTCGCAAATCCCGCAGCGTTGCGAGAAGACAACGCGGAGGACGTTGGTACCGTCGTAGTTGCTTAGGTATACGTGACCGTCCGCGTCGGTGATGGCCAGCAGCGGATCCTTCGGCGTGCTCGGGCACCAGTCGATCCCGCGAATCGTAGCTTCTCCCGGCAGTTTCACCTCGTAATCTTTGCAATTAAAACATTTTACGTATTTTAGAACCTTTGACTGTGGGATGCACATCGTTCGTTAGAGATCCGGGAGAATTAACATTCTCTTGGAAAAAAGAAATAAAGAAATAACATGCCTTTTAGGATAACAAATTTCTCGACGACATCCAGCTCCCAAGTGAACAATTTTCCGCAGGTCTTTCCCATTTGCCCGATGACGGTGCGTCCCGTCCGAGTTATTCTGATCATCTGACCGATCTCGTCGCGTATAAGCGTGTTGACAATCGCGATCTTCTCCCCCGTTCGCCAGGACCACACGATCATCGGGAAATTCGGATAGGAGCCCAGCGACACTAGATGATCGTTTGGAGTGAACGCGATCGCCAGATAGCCGCTGTTGCATCCTCCAACGCACTCGCAGATTTTCGTCATCGAGGGATACGCGAGAACAAAGATTCGCGGATTCAACGATCTCTCGGAGAAGGCGAAAATCGGCGAGGACTGGTGACCGGATATACAGCGAGCACCATCGCCGGTCGCATTATTCCAGCACCAGTGCAACGTTTGTTGTTTCTTGACGACGTGAAAGAATATAATGTACAGGCCGGTGCACCAGGCAAGCACATCTTTGCCGATCCAAACTATTTCCTCGATCTTGCTGCCGCGTACCCAGCAAGGTAAATAACTCGTAACTTGATTCATCTGCGCGTACTTTTCACGAATAATACTACGTACTAAGCTAATAAAATTGTCAATTGATTATAAAGACTAACCTAGAAGATCATAAGACCACTTTGACAAGAGTTGAAAAGAGAAACAAGTTACAAACAGATTGAATGAGTGATAACGAATTTTGAACACTCGTGCATAATAACTGTTAATTATTCAATGAAACGACGTCACAAAGTGATCGATTTGTTAACTTGACAATTTTGCGAATATTCGATAAGATTAAATGATAAATATCGAATTACGCGATTAATAAAAATTGTAAATCTAAATTCAAATTAAATTTAACTCTTTGCTTATCTAATTTAAAAGTGATTTTAAATTAGATAAAAATTAGATTAAAAAATTTTATTTAACATTTATGTTTAAGTAAATTATATTTAACTTCTTGTTTATCTAATTTAAAAGTAATTTTAAATTAGATAAAAATTAGAGTAAAAATCGCATTTAACGTTTATGTGTTTCAGTAAATCATATAAATTATATACCGGAATCGGTAATAATCAGTGATCGTTATTTTTATTAGATTTTTCAAAGCCATTCAACGCCGCTACGTCCTGAACGACTGAACGAGGCAAAACTTCTTGTGCCTTCCGGCAATGTTCGAGACTAATTTCCTACGGAATTAAAAGTTTCCATTGTTCTCTATTGTGAAGGCAACAACGTAAAAACCCGAAAATTCCGCTCAACGCTACGGTGAATCGTTTTTTTTTTTTTTTTTTTTTTTTTTTTAATATCGAAAAAGTAAATCGAGATAAGGTAAGCATGTTTGACGTCGCGTGTCAGACGTGTAAATGTAAATGTTGCATTTAACAATCCTCTAATTAAAAAACTTGTTTTCACAAGTTATTCAAAATGTGTAATACAATTAACGTTTGAAGCGTAAAAATAAGGCTTGTACAATATTATGTCATATAATAATGAAAGATTTCATGAAAAATTAACGAAAGGTCCGCATCCACGCAACCTGCCGGTAACAGACAAGTGTCTTTTAAAAGTGATGGAAAATATGATGTCCATTCATTCCGTCAACTAACGACGAAGCGCAGAACATTCAACCGAGAATCACCTGTTTAACTGTTGCGCCTCTATTGTCTCTGCTTAATTCAACCAGTGACAACTATTCTCCAGTAACATCCTTCATGTTTATTGTATAACTGTACTTTATATAAAGTATCCTGGCGGAAGATAAATTCAGCTCCATTGAAACAAGACACTCACACTTTATCGATTCAGCTCAATAAACCTGCACCTGAGGAGCGTAAGAAGAATGTAAGCAATTAAAATTTTAATTTTTTTAGGGGAAGCCTACAAACGTTTAGAGATTCATATAAGTATACAGTTATGAAATACATTAAGTAAGAGCCTATACAGATTAAAATTTATATACGACACTTGATGCTCCAAATCTAATTAAGTAATTTTTATCTTAAAAATATAATTTGTTTATATAAATGATGATGATGATTTTGAACTACGTTTTTATCGCAGTTTATTTTTAATAACTGTGTTTCAGAATTTTAGCCGATCTCATTTCAATTTTATTTGCGTATAATATATTATGTAAACGTATTGAAACCAGCAATCTTCTCAATTTAATTCTCCCTTTATCTCTATTTCTATTTCAGATTGTATAAAAAAATGCTCGTTACAAATTCGTTCGCAGTCACTCGCTCCGATTGTTCGTGCTTTCGCGCAGTTTCTTCGGATTTACGTCGTTCGTTGGTGGCAACGGATATCGGGTGCCTTCGACAGAAAGGTCCAGCTGGTCTCTCTCTCCCTCTCTCGAAGAAAGAATTTGGCAGCCTTAAGACAAAAGGTGATTAGGATACTCGCAGTCGATGGTGGTTTATAAAGACCCCCATAGCGTGGCGTGATGAGGTCAACCAGCAGGGAGTCATCTGTATAGCGAGGCCCGATCAAAAGCTTATCCTTGCCACGTGATATACTGCCCATGGATGCTTGCCAAGCGTTCTCCGGTCTCTCTTTCTCTCTCTCTCTCTTCTTCTCTCCGACCTGGTCCTGACTGCCCTCCCTGACCGGCAGTCTGACTGACTGACTGACTGCCTACCTTGAGACTGCCTGATTTCGTATCCTCGCATATCCACGGTCGAAGGGATCATGCCTCGCTTCGTCCGCGGCGTCGTGCGCGCTGCCCGTACGCCGTCGCCTCCACCATTAAAGTGACGCCCGCTGAGATTTGTATTTGCATAACCCACCGGCCACGTACCAATCGGCGTTATCGACGAGTGCTCGTGAACAACGAGTGGCATCGCCTTACCGGCGTCGCTTGGACCGAGTCGCGTGGGAACTTGAGAGCAGGATATACGTCGTGCCCTTCGTTGCACGAGTGACTCCAATCAGCTCTCGTTCATTCTTACCTACTGCGTGATGCTTTACTCCATACTGGTTATAATTTTTCACGAGATAATTATCTCGTTTCAAATAAAAGTTCCCCACGCGCGCACAATTTGATATAGAAAGGAGAATTAATTGTACGTCCCTCTCTCTGAAGTATAAAAATCGACTAAAGAAATCATTATCGGACCTAACATTCTCAGAGAGTAATGATCGCCAGTCGGGCGCAATCTATCCTATCGTATAATACGGCTTTTTCAGACGGTCAAGAATTAAATTCCGCATCGCGCGATTGAGTTGAGATATTCCCGTAGAAGTGCGGCGTAGGCTATACGTAAGCGTGAACGCCCAGTGCCGGGTGTTCGTGCTTAACATTTAGTCTCGCGATCTCGCGCAACGACTCCCGGGGGAGGCGCGCGCCCCGTGAGGCCGGGCGTGAGGGCGGTGGAGAAAAATGATGATCCGAGGCGGAAAGCGGCACAGCCAAAGGAGCATCATCCGCGTATATACGCGCCCGGTCGTTCCATGGTCGGCACGCATACGCGCTCGTGCTGCGCGACGAGCAACCGCCGTCTCGTATCACATCGTCCGCCGTCCGCGCAGTGTGGGAAACCGCGCCGCCGAGAGACAGGGGGGCGAGAGAGAAAAAGAGAGAAAGAGAGAAAGAGAGAGAGAGGAAGAAGGAAGGCCGCGAGAGGAAGAAAAGAGGAAGAGGGAACGACTCCGAACGCGCGGCGGAGTAGCATTTAATCAGAGCCTCGCGTCGAAGTGCACGGTACACGTGTACGTATACTGCGGGGGGTTGGGAAAGGGAGGGGAAGTAGAAGAGAAGCGGTATATGGTTCGGTTAGTTTTTGCTCGGGAGGTTGCCTGGAAATTGGCGCCAAATTAGTAAGGAGGACGAGGCGAGGCTCACGGTGCCTTGGGCTGCGTGACGCGAGACATTAAAAGTAACCTCTGCTCTTGTACACCCTCGTCCCTCCGCCGATCGCTGCTGCTCCTCTCCCGCCCCTCCCTCCCTCCCCTTCTGCTCCGTCCTTCCCGTTCTGCCGTCGTTCTACCCGACCCCCCGTCCTTTTCGCTCTCTCTCTCTCTCTCTCTCTCTCTCTCTCTCTCTCTCTCTCTCTCTCTCTTTCTCTCCATGCAGCATCACAACAACTCTTCCTTCTTCCTCCCCATCTTCTTCTTCTCCTTCTTCGTCTCTTCCTCTTCCTCCTCCTCCTCCGCAAAGATGTCCGTACTCCGGAGGAACGGGCAGCAGCTTAGAACTCCTCGGCCTCCCAGTAATCACGTTCGCCCAACGAAAGGAAACGAGAGAAAAAGGAGGAATTCGCACTTACACCAAACTCAGGTCTGCGCGTATAAGCGATTGGGGGGTAGGTAAGGAGCATCGGCAGGAAGGGAGACGCGGAGGGAAGCGTGTGATACCGAGCCGAGGCCGTTCGAGGATGGTCGTTGTCGAAAAAGGGTATCACGCCAACGGTCGCGAGAGAACCAGGCCGTCCCCCTGCTTCCCGGACTCCCCTCCCCCCCCTCCCGAATTGCCGGCACCATAGCGCACGGAATGACGCTGACGGGACCAACAGCGACCAAAGTATCTCACGGACCTGAATGTTTTTGTCGCTGGCACCGTCAATAAACGCACGAGCGCCAGGGAATTTTTGAAAAACGACGAGAAAAGGCGGGGGGAGGATGTTTTACAGGAAATTTGTAGGCGCCGCGTTTGTTCTCCACGAATGGGAGCTGACGGCATGGACGCAGAAAAATTAACGCTCGTCCGTGGAACTCGAGGCTTTCTGGAATTTTAAATATATACATCGCTCGGGTACGATTACGAGTTCGTTTCTTCAAGGACGATTCTACGAAATGAGTCAAGTGCCAGCGATTAAAATACATGAGAAATCATCTGCCATGTTTACGTAGGAGGTATATTTATCGAAAATCAAGCTTAGACGTTAATTTGATAATATCGGTATTTAAAGAAGAAATACCTTTTGACTTATCACAAATTGTAAAATTGTTACAGATTCACTGTTTATGGTAACTATTACAAACTTATTGGATATTGCCAGCGTCTCGTACGACCTTAGAACCCATTCAGATCGATTCCATCACGTCGTTTTATAATACACAACCGCGAAGAGGTAAGCATAGATTCGGTGGTCATTCACTCGGATGAGACCGGTCGTTCGCTAGGTGGTGCACCCACAGCCCAGTGATTTGATTTCCATTTCCATCCAGAGGGGAGTCTGGCGGTCCGCTCGAACACGACTAAAACGCTACTCCTATTACGGCTAGAGACCCGGGTCCTGATTTGCACCGGCGATAGCGCCAGCACACCGCCAGGCGTAGAGAACGCCGGCTGATGAAAAAGGAGGTGAACGACGAAAAAGGGGGTAAGCGGAGAGGGAAGAGAATCCTCCGTTCGCCACGCTGCACGGGGGATTCACCTCCGGTCGACGAGGCGGCAGCTGCGTTTCTCGGCCGCCGTGCATGCGTTGCGCACGCACAGGGTGCCTCCGAAGAGAGAGAGAGAGAAAGAGGGACGCGCGTAGATTATAGATGCGTCGCGGTGATCACAGACAAACGTTTAAATCGCTAAACGTCGAATTACA